TGCTCCGTGCCCGCTGGCTCGCACCACGTTTCCCTTTGGCATGGTCAAACGCTTCCCTAAAACCCTGGAGGTGATGTTATAGCAGGCCCTGCAGCCTGCCGGGCTCCAAGCTGGCAGCTCCTGGGAGGCAGCCTGGCGCGTTACAGGGGTCCAAGAGGAGTTCAATAGACAAGTTACGCTCGGGCAGTGGCTTGCAGGATTGCACCCAATGGATGTTTAGGATTACACCTAAACAAATACGTTAAAAAGTAGTGTGCCAGGTGATAGGAAACACCGTCTCAGAAAGACTCCTGTTAAACTATGAAGTGCCTCTGAAGAGTCACAGAATCACAGAATCACAGAATCGTTTAGGTTGGAAGGGACCTCTGGAGATCATCTAGTCCAACCTCCCTGCTCAAGCAGGGTCACCTAGAGCATATTGCCCAGGATCACATCCAGGCCTCTTGTTCTGTTGCTGGGCACCACGGAGAAGAGGCTGGCCTCATCCTCTTGACACTCCCCCTTCAGATACTTGTACACGTTGATGAGATCCCCTCTCAATCTTCTCTTCTCCAGGCTGAACAGGCCCAGCTCTTGCAGTCTTTCTTCATAGGAGAGATGCTCCAGCCCTCTAATCATCTTGGTAGCCCTCCGCTGGACTCTCTCCAGGAGTGCCATGTCTCTCTTGTACTGGGGAGCCCAGAACTGGACACAGTACTCCAGGTGAGGCCTCACCAGGGCTGAATAGAGGGGCAGGATCACCTCCCTCGACCTGCTGGCAACACTCTGCCTAATGCACCCCAGGAGACCATTGGCCTTCTTGGCCACAAGGGCACACTGCTGGCTCATGTTTAACTTGTTGTCCACCAGCACCCCCAGGTCCTTCTCGGCAGAGCTACTTTCCAACAGGTCAGTCCCCAGCCTGTACTGGTGCATGGGATTATTCCTGCCTAGGTGCAGGACCTTGCACTTGCCTTTGTGGAACTTCATGAGGTTCCTCTCCGCCCAGCTCTCCAGCCTGTCCAGGTCCCTCTGAATGGCAGCACAGTCTTCTGGTGTGTTAGCCTCTCCCCCCAGTTTAGTATCATCAGTGAACTTGCTGAGGGTGCACTCTGTCCCTTCCTCCAGGTCATTGATGAATATATTGAACAAGACTGGGCCCAGGACTGACCCCTGGGGGACACCACTAGCCACAGGCCTCCAACTTGACTCTGCGCCATTCACCACAACCCTCTGAGCTCGGCCATCCAGCCAGTTCTCAAGCCACCTCACTGTCCACTCATCTAGCCCACACTTCCTGAGCTTACCTAGGAGGATGTAGAGGAGATAGAGGAGATGATTCTTAAATGTAAACAGATGAATACAGTTCTGTCCTTTTTAAGCTATGCTGCCAAACATCAGAGCCACAAACAGTGCACAGAGTATTCTGTTGCACTGTTCTGAATAGCAATGAAGTGTTGCTAGTGTAGCGTAAAGTTGTTTGAAAAGTAACATGCAGATCTTACCTCCCTTCCCCCCCATTTTAACATATGGCATTGACAGAAGAGTAAATTGATTATCTTTATGAGTACCTAGTTAAATCTCCACTGATCTCCTTTTTGCAGGGGATTAAAGAGAGATTTAATCAACTGAATACTATAAATTCATTTATGGTAATTGTTTTCACTCACTTTGCTCCAAAAGTGGATGAGAAATTATGTTTGTTGCAGCTCCACAGGTTGTGTGTATGTGTAGCAACACCTACTCACAAACATTAACTTTCCTTGAAGTGGACACATGGCAGAGCACAGTAATTATGGAAATTATCTTTTGAAACAGGAAGTTTAGAGAAAAGGATTACATTAGCGTATATTAAGTTTTCAGTCAGCCTATGTTAATTAAATCTTTAATGTAGCTTACAGTAAATAATAAACCCTTTGCTCTTAACCTGTATCTTAGAGAGCAAAGACATATTTGTATAATTGCCCCTAGACAGGTCATCTCTGGTTACAAGGAGAATCATCTCTGGTTACAAGGAGAACCATCTCTGGTTACAAGGAGAACCATCTCTGGTTACAAGGAGAACCGTGAATTATTGCTCAAAAGCAATAATTAACCCCAAATCAAACGTGCCTCTGCCCAACCATTAGAGAAAGACAAAGCCACAGAGTCCCAGCACAGACCACATGTCTCTGCAGAGAGGTCTTTCCTTAGAGAATAAATCCTTGAATCCTTGAAGATTAAATATGACCTAGACCAGCATTACTAAAGAATGGATGTATGTGCAGCACACTGCCTGCAGTGAAGATGCCACTCTGTCCCTAAATTCCTGTTCTGAGAGAAGAAGGACAAAGTGTTTTCGTTGTGTGATCCCTGCCCCAAAAGGGGATGGCCCGGCCCTGCTTCAGGAGGCAGTTTTAGTGTCTGGGACCAAAGTGGCCGTGGCAGCCTACCTGTCCTGGCCTGTTGCTCCTCCTGCGAGAGGAGCAAGGAGGAATTAACCTGAAGGCCACAGTCTCATCCTAAGTGTTGCCTTTTATTTCAGAACGGCCAAGGAAGTGAAACAATTTCTGATCTTATTTACAGAGAGGCAAGTGCAGAGTAATTGCACTAGAACTGGTGGCTTTGTGCTGCTGCCAGAGAGCGGACTGGGCCCTAGCGAGACAGACGAGGGAGAGGCACCAGGAGCACACCATGAGAATCACAGCGTTCCCTTCTGTTTAAATACTAAGCTGTGGAAGCTGTGGTAGAAAGAAGAACACCGTTTTTTAGCTGAAGGCAGGACTTTGCCATGCGTACAGAAAATGCCTGTAATATGGCACAGCATTCTTTTTAAGAGGATTGTTTACAGCTTTACAGTTCAAAGCAAACAAGAGGAAAATGAAAATAGGAGCGATAAGTCCAGACAGCTCAGCTTGCCAAAGTTATGAACAGTAATTACTGGAATTACTGAGAGTTAAAACCCTGTTTTTTGTGTGCAACTATTACGTTCACAAAGGTTGGACTGATTTCTGCTCTGAGGGATCAGCTGCAAGGATTATGGAGTTGTTCTGTCACAGTAGATGGCAAATTTATAAAGCATGAGTGCTCACCACTCAGAGCATGCACTGAAGAGTGCCAGAGTGGCATACACACCACACCTCCATGGCGAAGCCCACTAGCCTTAAAAAAATGGTGGGGTCTATTACTCTTGTCCTGATGCGTATGTGTTTATATACAACTCTAATTCACGCTAATGGAAGGTAGGTGCAGAGCCCCTGTGGACCCAGATGGGAACAGCCCTTCAGCTGTAATGGACAAGCATCAGACAAAGTAGAAATAAGATAGATTGCACTGATCTCCTCAACAATGCAATTACTGAGAAAGCAAAGCTCCATGTGTTTGGGCAGTGGAGTCAAACAAAGTCCTCAGAGCATCACAGGAAAAAATTCACCAATAAAACCTTTCAAACAATAAATTACAACCCTGTTGCAAGTGCTGCTGCTTCATGAGATGAGGAGGGCTACATGCAGATAAAATATCACCACTAGTGAGAGAGTAGCAACGGACAGTGCTGCTGTAGTTGTGGACAGCTCCAGACTCATCTTGGGAGCTGAGTGCTCCCTCTAATGCAGCAGTAGTTATAGTAAAGGGATGATATAAAGGATATATAAAGGACACTACCACTGTTAGTGAGCTATGAGTCCACATTTGCTTAGAGTAGAATATTCTCCCAAAAAGAGTTCATTTAAACAAAGCCACCTGTTAACAACTGACTGCTTGCCAGCTGCATTCACAAATACATCCAGTGTTACAAACTCAGGGCACTTGAACATGATCTTACCCACAGCCAGTTTCAACAGTGTAGTTTTGTGTTTACATGTTTAATTATAGCTGCGAAAACAGTGCTTCATGTTCATGCAAGAAATCCTGCAGGTGTGTCTTTCCATAAGAAATGTTCCTATCTCATGCACGGCTGCTCTGCAGTCCGCAGGGGCAGCTGCTGGAAATTTGTTGCTAATGCAAATGACCCACTGATGGGAATTCTTCAAACTACCAAAAAAGGTTTATGCAGTCACAGTCTTGTTTTGATTCACTTGCCTGTAGAGATGGCTTTCCATTACTTTTGGCATCTCTTAGATGTCAAAAAGTTCATAATACTTTTGCTGTAAGTTCGTTTTTGAAAGTGCACAGAGCAGGCTCATAGGCAGGCAGAGGCCCGATGTCCCAGTGCACTTAGCTGCTGGATCACAGCTCTTCTTCCTGCTGCAGCCCCAATACTGCTATCCCTCTAGCTGGTGCAAATCCAAAGAGCCTCATCCGGCAACTGGGATAATTTATGCCCACTGCAGAACTGGTTGTGTTTAGATGAGAGAGGTTGCTGATCACACCTGTGTAATCACAGAGTTTTCTGGAGACTCTGTATTGACTCCCACTGATGGCAGCACGAGCCTTCCCAGCAACCGGGCAAGGCTGGAATGGGGCCTTGGCATCAACCTTTGTAATGAGAAGGAGGCGTTTCTTAACAGCCAAAAGCAACAGTGGAGTTGACTAAGAAACCAACACAACACAAACGCATAAGCAATAATCAGGCTATTTGCCCAACAAATGTTAGAATTGCTTTAAGAGAAATACCTGTTGCCTCCCTTCTTTCTCACTCATCCTCCTTTGCTCCCACTTTCTGAAGACAACATCCAAGACATGCGTTAGTGGAAGCTGTTCTAATCATTTTAGCAGTTTCTGGGTCATGAAAAACAAAGCAAAGCTTATTAATGAGAAAAATGAAATGAGATTTCCCTAAGCTGATTGCTGATAAAAAAAAAAAAAAAAAAAAAAAAAAAAAAAAAAAAAAAAAAAAAAAAACATTCATTTTTCTGTATAAAGAAGAAAACATCTGTCACCGTTTCAATGTGTCTCAGTCTCCCTGCCTGTGTTTCAGCACAATAAATGCCCATTTTCACACCTTCCTTCCTAATCTTTTTAACTAAGCCTTGTTCTGACTGTTAGAAAGGACACAGGGGAACTTGCATCAGTGCAGCATATCAGCTATGGGTGGGTCTTAGTTCAGAGCTTAGTTTTGGTTCAAACAGTTATACATCAAAACAAAGTACAACCAATTAGCTGAGATCTTTGGCAGGACTGTGGGCCTCGGTGCCGACATTGTTTGCAATGTTAAATAATATACATCAATAGCAAATCTTACCTGGCCATAGCACAAGTCCTAGAAACATAAGGAACAGAGAGTAATACTTTGTATTTCTACAACACCTTGCATAAAAAGATTTCAGAGAGCTTTGCCAAGGTTCAGAGCTAGTTGTGCAACCGAGTACGAACAATGGCACAGATTGTACAACACAGCTCTAATAAATTCAGCCTCAGAACTGCAAGGTTCTTGTTTCTACTTTCCACCAGGTTGAAAAAAAAAACAGCTCTTTCACAGGAGTAACTAGAGTAGGTAATAAAGAGTGCTGTTACCTTTCCCAACATCATCCAGGTACAAGAAAGGAAACTTTGTACATTGGCAGATGTGACTTCTCGGTTAGTCTTTTGTTTCTATTTGACAAAATGTAATAAATGATAGCTTCGTTAAAATGAAATAACCATTTTTTAGTTCAACAGATTTTTTTATACTTGTGCATGACCTCAAAAACTCTCTCAGTCATTTTTGTTGTTGCCTTAACACAGTCCACAGAGGGAACCCACAGCTCAGAGGAATCACTACCCACGGGAGGCTGCTCTGAAGGCTCAGAATCACGAGGAAGTTGCAAACGGGTCTCCTGCAGAGAGCCTGGGGACACCCGACAGCCACAGATTTGGACCCTCTGCCCCTCTGACCACTGGCGCTGAGATTCAAGACGACTTTGAGCGGGACTTTGGTAAGATGGCATTTCCCAAAGAAGTGTCAAAGAGTACAGTGGTTGCTCAGTACCCTCCCAAGGTACTTCTTAAGCTGTTTCTTAGGAATGAATAGTCCTTCACAATTCAGATCAGAGCCATTTGCAGTCCCTTGCAGCTCCATTTGAAGGTCTCAAAGAGCTTTGCAATTAATTCCTTATAATTTCCACGTCAGATAAGTGTGGCGTATTATCCCACTTGTACAGCAAGAGATACCAAGGCACGGCACGTTTACAGGCGTTGATAAAGGATGCAGACAGAACGGAGAGGAATCTGCAAGGCTGGCCAAAGACAGGGCAGCACGCAAAGCACTGCGACTACTCTGCAGAACAAATATTTTCATAGAAACAAGGGAAAGTTTGCTGCCGAAAGGGTTAAATGGCAAACAATAGTTCGCAGGCCTCTCTGTCTGAAGAGATCTCTGCTTGCTTCTAACAAACAGTAGCAGATGGTGCATTGTTTTAAGGGCTTTTCAGACACAAAAGAACAAGATCAGATAACCTTTTCTCAAAGAGAGTACTTACAAAAAGCCTTTGCTCTTATTAAGGATTCTTCATTGTTTTCCCCACAAAATGTTATAAGTAATATTGGATTTTGAGGTGGCGGAGAAGCCAGTATTGTTTACTATGCTTCTCCCCAGCCCCCAGGGAATAGGAGGGCATCTAATATGATTGGATAGTAAGTCTGTTGTCTGAACAGTTTACCATAAGCAAAAGACATTGTACTTATTTAGTATGAATAACTAAGGGCCCCAATTCTGAGAACTATCTGGCAAAAATACCCTGCCATCCACTGTTCAGCACTTGAATAACAGGAACTTCTGCCTGGTCTCTGTGCCAGGGAAATCTTTACCTTCTCCTGCATTTGCGGGATCTGGAAGGTTTGAGTTCAACCCCAAGGCTTGATTCTAAGCCAGTAGTCCCAATACGGGGCATGTTGCTGCAGATGAGGCACAGTGCTGTCGTTTTGAGGACAATGTGGTTCTGAAATATGGGTCACAAGTGGCTCTGTTCACCACCCTTATCAGTAAAAGGGTATTCAGATGCAAGGCCGCATTGTCTGCTATAATGCATCAGTTGATTCTGCTCTCTTTCACAGAAGAAGGCAGAAGTCACTAGGCACACACAGGGTAATGATGTGTAATTACACAACTGCTGCAAAACATAAATATTTACTTTAAAAGATATATGCATCACCTAACCGTTAATTGCTATGCCAAAAGCATTAGAATTTTTCTGGAGTAAACACACTTGGCAAAATAACAAAATTCATTTTCAAACATAATAAAACACACTACAGGAAGTAGATGCTCACAAAATATTTGTAACTATTTACTGCCTGGAATAAGACAGTGAATCTGTCTTGAGCTGTTGAATTTTCTTTTTAAACAGCTAGTATAAAATCCACAATTGCAAATGCAATAAGCATGTGCTGTGACAAACACAAATCATCTCCACAGAGTTCCCTGGAAAGTAGTCCACATAGCTGCTGTCTGCATCTCTAATCAGTTTATGCACAAAACTTCGTAACTAAGTGAGCTGATGAGGAAGTGGTTTGCACATCCTGGTTATCTCAGAGACACCACTGCATAAAATACTTCCACCATTCCTGCCGGACCACCAGGTCTCTTCTGCAAGGAGCTAAGCTCTGTCTTCCTTGATACTGCAGCACATCCTCTGAATACAGCCCAGTACCCAGGTTGTCTGTATCGCTATTAAATAAGGGAACTGGGTGCTTTTGAAACCGTTTTCCCTGTGTCCACTCCTACAGCCTTGTGAGGGGATTACAGACCAGAAAGCTCATCTGAGTGAGCCAGACTCTTGGTTTTTCCTTTCTCTATTTGAGAGAGAACAAGGTATAAACTGAAATTCATGTTAAAAAAATATTTTCTAAATGTTGAAGCTCCAGCATAGATACTGCTTTAAAGTAAATAGCATTAGGAAAGCAAATGGAATGCTAGCCACTGTTCTTAAAATGCAGAATTTTAACCTGGAGTACAAAGAAAACATATTCATACATAAAATTCTCTCTCCTCTTAATGGCTGATTTCACATATTTTTTCATATCGCTAGAGGGAGCTGCCTTCTTGCTTATGAGAGAGAGAGAGAGACATGAACAAATTAGTGGAATCAGAGGAGAGCAGAGAAATGTAGCCACATGGTTTCAGCTAATTGTCCCCTGACTGGCAGTTTTGAGATAAGAGAGCTCTTGGTGTTTTGCTTAAAAATACTACACCTTCTTCTGTATTCTGCAAACCTGCTGCCTGATGAGTTCCAGCGAGCTCAATCATCAGCCTTCGAGCATCTCTGAAGCAGTCTGCAATGACGGCAGCCCTGAAGCGTAGCGTGCCTCTTGACTCAGTGGCAGGCAGCACAAGAATTGCTCTCACTCCCTTTGATACCAGTTTCCTCCCTCCGAATTAGCTCCTTTTCACATCCTCAAAGGCTGTGTTCACACAGCTAATTAGCTAGCTGACAGAACCTACTATGGCCTTCATGTGCGCATGAAGAAGTCAGCACTTTGTCCTTCTCCATGCTACTGTCCCACAGCATGCTGTTACTCGTAAAATGCCACCATGAATCTTGTGGACTTCTTTGTATTTCTTGCTCTGTGGGGTCCAGTGTTGCTTTGCTCTACTGGTTGGGGGTTTGGGATCCATACTGGAAGTGTAGTGGGTTGAGGGAATTGAATATAATTCGTGAGAAATAGAAGCAACATTTCATGAAAATTCAATGTTCTGGTGAGGTCTGGCTTCAGGCCGGGCTCTGCTTGTGCTAGCCTGTGGCAGGAGCTTCTCTGCTGCTCGGTACGGGGGATGGCACACGTGGAAGTATCTGCAGCAGGCTGAGGTTGATATCACCAGGTGCTGCAACATCTGGCTGGAAGCTGAACTCTGGCCAACCGTACGCACTAAAGGATTTAGATATAAACACAAAATATGCAGAGGACAGGAGCAGCACAGGTCACATTAATCTCATAATTTAGCAAGCAGCTACTCTTCAATGACAAGTAAGATACCAGATGTAGCTGTAGAGAAGAAACGGATTCAGTGCACATGGAAATACTGATTCAGAAGGTACTCAGGAATGCAGATGAGCCCATTGATTCGCTGGGGTTCACAAGCAAAGCTTTCAGGTTTAGGGTCTCTTCCTTAGGGATCGTGCTTGGCTTACAAGTCCTGCTAAAGAAGGGCCAAAGATGGGAATTTCAGCCATCCCGTTCACTGTGTGTATCTCAGCTGTGAACAGGGGTTAGGCAACCTCTTTCTGTATCTCCATTTGCTCGTCATCACTACAGCACAGTTCTTGTATGCTAACACAGTACTGAAATGCCTGGGTGGCATTTCACACATCCCTTCCCTTATCTGAAGAGTATCATAAAATAATAAAGCAATAGAGCCAGCGCAGCAGTGTTGGAGAGGGGAAGGGTTGCCTTGACCCGGGTGCCAGCTGGTCAGTTCCTTCTGGATCCGTTGCTCTGTTCCACAGCAGCCTTTCAGGACCCTTTTCACACCATCTTCATATACTCCCAGGCAATAATGTAGTCAAAGTTGTGCTTATATTTAAAGTTGCAAGTATGTATTTTTGTAATAACTAGTTTGGACTGATTGCTGACATGAGCAGAAAGAGGAAAAGCTGTCCTTGAATAAAGCAGCAGTAAGTGGTTCTGTCTAACTTCAAGTGATTAGAAAAATGAGACTTTTAGCCCAGCTTTTTTAATTATATGTCACAGAGATGCTACAGGGTTTTACTGAGATTCTGCAGGTGCAGCGGAAAGTGATTTAATAAATAGCATTTTTTTAAAGCAGCTGAGTGTATGAACATTTAAGCTATCTGGGTATGCAATAAAATGCCATTCATCATAATGTAAGAGGACATGAAGTTTAGCCAGATGGTATTTTCTTTAACACGGGATGTTAACAACACAACAAATGCATCTGGCAATAGCCACAATTAGGAAAATTACGTTCCAGAGGAGTGAAAACAGAGCACAACAAACTTTTTATTCACCTTGAGGGCAATACCATTAGATGTCTCTGAGGTGAACAGCAGTAGCATTATTCAGTTTGAGGCACAAGCTGAAAATACATCCCAGTTTTAAACTCAGTCTTAAGAGATTCCCATACTTCAGAATGGCCCAGCTACTAGTATTAAAAACTCCTCAGATAAATTGGTATCAAGAAATTTAGCTTGCAAATTTTGTATATAAAATGACCTTATTTGTTAATATTTAAGGAGACATTCCAATCTGGCTTTTGAAAGTGATGAGCTATCTGTGTACCTGTGAAAGAACCGTTCACTTGCCTCTTTTCTATTATACGTTTAAAACAAGTAATAAAACTGCCCTATAGAAACAACACATCTTTCGCCTATAGGATTTTCCGTAATATACCATTTCACAAAATCATCACAACTGCAAGCATTGAAGAGTGTGAATCAGGCCTCAAACTGGAAAGATTAGGATAAAAACAAAAATCCTTTTAAAGGATGGGATCTTTATTGGCCACGTGATTTTTAGTCATTCAGTTTGACTTTGTCTTTTCAAACAACCCACCGGAACCAGGAAGGTTGGAAATATGCATTCCTTAAATGAAAGAGGAGATTTTCATCTAGTCTCTTGATTCTGGAAAGCAAGAGGTTAAGAAAAGCCTCCTATATTTTAAAAAGCCATGATAACTGGTAACAATCTAAGAGGTAAGTGAAATTTGCAATCAACCTGTTTACAAAAAAAGCAGCAACGTTCAAACAGAAAATCTGCATCAAGCTTGAAGCATTAACATTTTATTTCACTCACATCTTTGTAAACATAAAAAGCAGCCTGGCAGGCAAAGAAGCCCAAGTCTCTGACAAAGCTTCTGCGTTAAAGATCCTTCAGTATTTCAAGCAAAAACAAACCCTGCATGTTGTGGGCTTACACTGTGATATGGGCTAATTTGAATTCAGACAAACTGGATAGGGATACAGATTTTATCTGAAGTTTCCAAGTCAAGCCTATTTCTATTTATGACACACATTTCAATTCATTTATGACCCTGGTTGCTGTGACAGTCACACAACTCAGAGTACACACACAACCTGTTTGAATAAGCTTAGCAATTTATCTGAGAAGCTCAAAAGAGCCAAGAACATATCACTGGTAAACATTACATCACCTATACTGCACATGACAGACAGGAGAGTTATAATAAGGAAGTTGCAGTGAAATAGGTGCACCTGGAGCAAGAGTTGTTTACCCCACTTGGAAGCGAAAGCTTTTTTCCTGAGCTTGTCTTCCGTGTGACCAAAGAGGGATACCAAATCGGCACCCCAGAACAGGGAGAAGCTGCAGGATGGAGGGGCACGCGATGCTGCTGGAATTCTCCAGGAGGTGACCAGGTTGGGAAGCTTTTGTTCTTCTTTAACTAGTGGGTCTGGTCCTGTGGGTGCAACCAAGGAAGAACGGGAACAAGAGCAGCAATAACGCACCCTCTAGACTGCAGGCCACAGTGTGACTTAGCAGGGGAACTGCTCCCCAACCCTTCTCACTCCTGGCACGTGTCCTCTTAAGTCCTACCTCTTCCCTCTTCCCCAGTACTTGCAGGAGTTTATGTTAACAGATTTCTTGACAGGATGAAGGTAGTGACATTTACTTCCTCAGATATGGTAGGAGGTGTAGGTGCATGCAGAGAAGTTATTCTGGGAATAAAGTCAGCCATGAGATTCGGGAAGCTTCCAAAAATAGGCCCAGGGAGGACTCAAGAGGAAAACGCAGCTAGGAACGACGTATCCATCCCCCTTTCTCCCCGTGGCAATCCGCTGTTTAAATCTATGTATTATGACTCAGGCATGTTTTCCAGGCCTGGAAGGCAGCAAAGGTAAGCAGATGCCCTGGGACCGTACTGAAAGTAAAATGATGTTGTTAGATTATTTACAAGGTGTACTGACCTCGGTTGTGATCCAGCAAGCTATCCCTTTCTGGCAAAATGCTTAGAAAATGCTTAAAATCCCCATGGACTTTGGCAGCGTAGAGACACGTTCTCAGGGCAGCATCCAACTGGAGTCTGCAGCTAGTACTGCTCCCACTGCCTCCCTCTGTCAAACCCTGATACTTCCTTTAGCTGGCACTTACTAAATGGAGCATGGATTTTTTTTTAACTAACAGGGACTGTTAGCATCTATTTTCTCATCTTTCGCAGGTGAGGGAGACCTTAGCTGCACAGAACTAGAAGAGAAACACAGGAGCCATCTGGACAATTTGAGGCAAACCTCCCTCCAGCTGGCTCACAAACTGAAGGTACAGCAAGCAGCCTAAGCAAAGAGCAATTCCAGTTCTCCTGTCCTGCATAAAAAGTGCTGGCTATCCCTGGGTACAAGTGTATTCAGGTTATAATCAGCTGGCAGCAGCTGACTGTGCATGAGGTTTATACACCCAAAGTAGCTGCAGGGGAGAGATGCCAACCTTAATGTCCCATTTGTAAACCCCATTCTAGCCCTGGTGGGCAAGAACGCGTTGCTCTGCTGCAGCCGAAGCTGCGGGAAGCATTTGGGCGGCCTTCCAAAGGCAGCGGGGTGCGACAGCAGCTGGCTGCTCAATACCTGGGTGGCTTTCTCTTGGAGTTTGTGGCACTTTGGCACCCAGCTCAGAGGAATCATGATTCAGTTAAAAATATTGTTTATAGCGTATCATTTCCCAATGCAGGCCCATCAGCTCCAGCAGAAACAGCAACTGGCAGCGCTGAGTGAGAAAGCAAAGCTAGAGGTTCAAGAAAGCCAGAGGTCTTTGAATGACCTGCTTCAGCACGATTTAGAGGTAAGTTACCATTCCAGGCCCTGCAGTGCCATTTCTGGACCTACCATAATATTCCTCTAGTCCCCACTGGTTTTTTTCACTCAGAATACCTTAATCAAAAGGTTTTTTAATTGGTAAAGCATGTAGATCAAGACAATTTTTTCAGAAGTGTCCACATCTCTCACGTGACAGAGTCCTATAGACTGTCATTTGGATTGTGGATTTGAAATATATACTTATATACTGCAGTTTTTGCCCTCTACAGCCTTTTTTTTGCTGTGAAGTCTGAGAAGAGTTTTTAAGTCCTCAGGGGATAATTAATGTGACTCTTCTGTTTGGACATGAAAGCCTACTAGTGAGATGCTAATCATAACCAAGAAGTCCCCTTGGATATGATTTAAAAAAAAAGAAAGGAAGAAAGAAAGAAAAAATATTTTAGCATGCTGTTTATTTGGGGTTTTTTTTGCCTTCCGGCCTCAGATTCTGAAGTCAGCTGGAAACTGATGGACTTCAGTGACTATTAGAATAAGAATGTAGCCCCAGATGTGTAAAAGCAAGCTCAGACCTTGCATGCACTTCCAGGTTTTCTTTACATGAGTGTGAATGTTTGCTTTGGGAGATACTTCAGCTCAGTGAATTCTCTCCATGTGTTTGGACAGCTCAGATGGAAGTGATCTCTGTTTTTTTTTAAAGCTCTTAGGATGAACACAGTACCCTGACTCCTATGAAAGCAGCTCTAAATAAGCAGCAGTTTGTGAGCTGTTATTCTGCCTTACTCCCATATGCCCGCACAGTTATTTCACTGTGAGTAGTATCCAGCTCATTAGTTAATTCAACTCTACGAATTATTGGCATGTGAACAGCATTATCTACAACGAAGGGCTTTCCCAAGAGGATGAGGGAAGCAGACTTAAAAGTTTTGCCTTTCAAATAGATCACTCATGTCTGTGGAGGATAAACTCTGTTTTTGCAGGAGGGCAGTAGTTCCAAAGCTGATTATTCTTCTGTGCCAAGACTCGACCATGCAAAGCAAAAGCAGGGAGGATATCAGTCGGAAGGCGACAACGCAGCTGGCGAGAGGTACAGAGGACAGCGTACACTGAGGCAGCTAGATGGTTTAGCCTGTGGCTTGGTTATACGAATGGCTTAGGGCTCCAATGACACTGCGTGCCATTTCTGAAATGGGTGTTTATTCTGCGTTGCTTGAGAATGGCTTACATGGCAGGTACAATGTCTCTAAGATTGTGGCCCCATCCTTTTGTTCATTCAGGTCTCTGCTCCAAAGTATCCATCTTTGCAATACAATCTTGTTCTACTCTGATTTAGGCACAAATCATAGCAGAAATACCTTGCTGGTGTTGCAGGGAAATCTGCGTGTGTCTAAAGGTAGAAGCTCTCATGTATCGTTTTTACGAAAAAAAGGTATCCTTTTCCCCATTTTGCTTTTTCCTCATATACCTTGGCATGAGAGAGAATATTGTAAGTGCACGTGTTTATGTTCGTTTAAAGTGGCATAGACTAGAGACCGGGGAATTGCTTTCAAACTCTCATGGATACAACTACCAGAAAGGAACTTTGCACGGGTAAAACTTGCACCGTTGTGTAAATACGAGCGCCGTGCTAGTTTGAGAAAGACTCAGCCTCCACAGAGAGAACGGGGCCAGGGTCCGAAATCGTACCTCAGGCTGCACTGCGACGGTATTTCCTTTCTCCCGTCCTTTCAGTCATCGGGAGAGGCCGGCGCTGGGACGATCTGCACCGTCCGTAGGAAGCGACCAGGGTCCGACGGGTCCCAAAACAGCGGGACGCAGCAGGTCTCTGGGAGGAAGAGGTTCGTGTCGCTCAGCGCTTCGAGAAGGGGGCCCCCCGCCGGCAGGACTTGGTGGCGCCGGGCAAACGGCAACGGGCTTTCCGGCACGGCGTGCGCAGCAGTGCCGCGTGCCGGGCCTGGATCACAGATTTCACCCCCTTTGCTAAACGAGCTGGGAAAAATTCGGGCTGAAGCACTGCATTCACGATGCGTGTTTTAATCGTAGCGGTCCCTACTCCCGACCCCGCTGCAGAATA